GGAAGAGCACCCAGCTAAGATGCCGGTTGTGATTCACCAGTCCTGGCTAGGGCCTGAGAGTCTCCAGCTCTAGCAAGCTCCCAGGTGCTGACGATGTTCGTAGCTGATTTCTGAGAAACAAGAGCAGGAAGACACCAAAGGTTGCCAAGACTGTCTCAGGATTGCCCCAAACCACGAGTATTTGTCACACTTGCCCTCCAGCTCTTTCTCATCTAAGAATTAAAATTATATAAATGTCCTGAGACTGCAAAACTCTACACATATTTCAAAGTACTTAAAAAAAAAATAGTTTTCACCAAATTCTTAAAGAATTCTGTCCCCTAAAAAAGTTCAGAACCACTGTGCTTATAGGAACCACATTTCCCACAAAGACCAGTAACTTATTTGTAAATGTTCTGGTTTCTTTTCTTTTCTTTCTTTCTTTTTTTTTTTTTTTTAAAGGTTTTTACCTTAGGGCATGTATGTTCACCAGAGAGAGACAAACAGAGAGAGAGAAAGTGAGAAATCACCCTCCCTCCCACAGAAGGGATGACCACACTGCAATCCTTTCTCCTCCATTCTCTTCCCAGGATCTCAGGCAAGAATGCACATCCACCTGGCATGAGTTTCAATTGACTGAGTCTGGGACTCAAACCACAGTCAGCCATGTGGGAGTCCGGCGACATAACCACTACGCCATCTGCTAGGCCCCTGATTTTCTATTTTGTTGCATCATCAGAATTTCAAGAATACTGTTTTCTCCTCTTTTGTCATTATAACTGAGCCATATTTCAGCTACCAAGTAGAATTGGTGTTCTGGCCTGGAAACTAAGCACCATTGAACAACATGGTACATAATGCCAACAACTAATTTATAAAAGAACTTCAAATTCAACCCAGAAGTAAACTGACAAATCACAACATGGACACGTCCAAAGACAAAAAACCTTTTAATGGCCTCAGGCTGTTTTCTAAATCTTGTATCTACTTGAGTTCTGTCAAAAGATCAAGTGCTTTGGGGGCCAGCAGTTAGCGTAATGGCTATGTCGCTGGACTCCCACGAAGTCGACCGTGGTTCGCATCCTGGACCCGGTGGCTTAAAACTCACGCCGGGCGCGTGTGCGTGTGTGCCCAAGATCCCGAGAAGAGAATGGAGGAGAAGAGATTGTGGCGTGACCATCCCCTCTGGGGGGTGATTTCTCACTTTCTGTCTCTGTCTCTCTCTGTCTGTCTGGCGAGCGCATGTGCCCTATAGCAAAAACCTCTCCAAAATAAATAAATAAATAACTGTGGGGTTGGCTTATTAGATTTTTATCATTAATGGTACCTGATAAAGTAACTTTATATTCAGCCACACATCTTACCTCTCACAATTATCAGCTTGAAATTTACCTAAAGAACATGAGCAACAAGATGATGCAAGTGAAAGTCTTGTTTTAAGCACAACATATGGATGCAGTATAAATACATGCACCAGAAAATGTAGCTATACAAAATTCACAGAATACTTAGGCCAAAATAAAATCACTTAAAGAACTTTTCCTATCTACAATCACTAACAAAACAAACCCCAATTCAAGATAATACTTTTTTTTGGAGAGGTTTTTGCTATAGGGCGCGTGCGCTCGCCAGACAGAGACAGACAGAGAGATAGAAAGCGAGAATCACCCCCCGGGGGGATGGCCACGCTGCAATCCCTTCTCCTCCATTCTCCTCTTGGGATCTTGGACACGCACGCACACGCGCCCGACGTGAGTTTAAGCCACCGGCTCTGGGACTCGAACCTCGGTCGACTATGTGGGAGTCCAGCGACATAGCCATTACGCTAACTGCTGGCCCCCCAAATTCTTTTTTTTTTTTTTTTTTGGAGAGATTTTTGCTATAGGTCGTGTGCTCGCCAGACAGACAGAGAGAGACATAGAGACAGACATAGAGCCATTACGCTAACAGCTGTTTGCCCCCACAAATACTTTTGTTAGAGTATAAATTTCACTACTTTTACTGCCCACAGTTACCTCACTTGTTTCTCTTCATGCTGAAACAACCGGAGGCTAAGGTGGCTGGAAGCTAGCTCAGAGGTTACTGGGCAAGTGTACTATTTCTGATTCTCACACTATACTCATGCTGTAAGCTAACTGCTCCTTTGAACAGCTTTTGGAGGGTGTATCTGTGAACAGATGACATACCCTACACCGCATTAAACATACAAAAATCAAAAGATACATCAAAATTTCAGAAACAGTAAAAAGTAAAAAAGCATGTCTTAGAATCCAAGAATAAACAAGAGAAAGCTGTCTACAACAGTACAACCAATCCAAGCCTACCAGAAACCTCCCAGACCACCCACATAGAAACTAGAGTAAACATTTCTATAAAGCTACAAGAAAAAAGCTTTTAAAAAGCAATTGTTTTCCATTTCAGTTGACGGTAAGCATTAAAATGTAAGAAGACTAAGTAGAAAGAAAAGATTCAGGTTCATAATTTGTAACTGCTCCAAAGATAAACTCCACAAGAAAAATGACATGGATGCCCCTGCAGTAGCCCAATTTTTATAGCCTTTGTATTTTTAAGGTGTCCTAAACCTCCATTTTTTTTTTTTTTCTAAAGAGCAATTTTTGGTATAGGGTGCATGTGCTTTGCTGGTCAGAGACACAAATTGAAAAACCACCCCCAAGGGGGATGGCCACGTGTATCTCGGGCACACATGTACACGTACCCAGCATTGAGTTTTAAGCCACCAGGTCGGTGATTTGAACCATGGTCGACTATGTGGGAGTCCAGCGACAAAACGATTACACCATCTGCTGGTCTCCAAATATCCTTTTTCTTTAATGACATTTAATGAAGTGCCTTGCTGGAGTTTAGAAGAGTGTGGCACACAGGTCTTCAAGAAATGTTTGCTGTGATTCTTTTTCATGTTTTGATCTTTGTTTACAATTTTAGAAATCTCAAAGGCCTTACACAAAACAGAGTTGGGGGAGGAACAGATGGTTTGTGCAGTGAGGATTAATGTTCTGATGCCAGCTGTCACTTGAGTATCCGACACTACTCTAAGAGCTAAAAAGCAACTTAGACACAGCAGCTATTACCAAGTAGGGAGGTGTGTCTTTACACCTGAGCAGCATGGAGTCAGAGGCAGGCCTTGTTAACAGGAAAATTTCTGGGCCCCAAATCAAGCCTAAGGGATTGTCACTTCTAATGGCTGAGGCCCAGAAATCTGCATTAACATAATTAAATACTCCAGAAGAATTCTAGACTAACAGACAACAATTGAACTAGCTCAACTAAACAGACACACACAAAACTCTTGACAAAAATGATACATAAGGGGTGTTCAAAAAGTACATGAAAAATGCATATTATCAAAACAAACTCTACACAGATTTCAAAATGTTTTTGCATCAAAAGCAACTTGTGCTTTAATTCCATTTCATGATGAACTTTTCAAAGTCCCCTAGTACTGCCTGGAGCACGGTTGCCCAGGCTGACCTAAAACACTTTTCAGCCAGTTTATCAATCCAGCGAGCTCTCCTATTGACCTTTAAAGCTGTGACTTGCTGTAATCTTTTCCGTCTGATTCTGAAGAAAAGATGAATTATACCTTATTAATGTGTTTCGATGACCACAGAATTACAAAGGATAAGGCCCAGGTGGTAAAACAATCCAAGTGAAGGTAAAAAAGAAACTGGGTAAATCTGGCTGCTCCGCTTAACAGGAGCCTAGTGAAACAAAACCCCTAGCACTGAATTTACAGCTAAGTAATGGGAACGAGGCCATCTCCTATACTTCCTGAAAACAGTGCCTATAACCTGGTCTTCACCTGTTGGGCAGCCCTGGTTTCGGGCAGCCATTGTAAATTTGGTGACTAAATGAACGAGCTGGAAACCAAAGCTGTCATCGTAGTGAGTGGGATGCGATAAAGACGTGGCTCTCTCCTACACACCCAAACTCAGGTTTCCCGGCTGTCAAGCGTGTCCCTTAGGCCCGACCCGACGCTGGAGAGGCGCAGCCCACATGGCAGAAGGGAGCACCACCCTCCGGGTTGAGCCTGTAAACTTTGCAAGCGCCTCTCCCGGGCTCAGGACCACGGGCTGAGCAGGTGTGCCACTCTGTGCCAGGTCACTCGAGACCCCGATCGCCAGATCCCGGCTGCATCAGATCCAGCATACGCTCACTGCCCTGGGCCGGGGCCCTGGAGCGCGTCCGCGCACGTTCCCGGTCCCATAAACCAACAGCGTCTGCCGGCCCGCCCGGGCCC